TAGTGATGCTCTCAAAAATTGCCTCCCCATCACCAGAGACACCTCCAAATGCCAAGTGTTCCTGCAACTGACCGGCCTGCAGCCCGGACACACCTCGGTGTATTACTGTGTCAGACACACAGTCAGGAGAATCCTATTAAAGCCTGCACTAAAACTAACCTTGCAGAGAACCAGTCTGGCTTTACGAGCCCCAGGGAGCAGTAGCTGCCAGCACAGCGTTCTTTCTGCTTCTGCCTCACGTTACAAGCACTCCATGAATCTAATCCCTTAGGCAACCATTGCATCGGAGCTCCCAAGGCTGGGAGTGGAACCCAGGAGTCCCGGCTGCTGCATTTTGTCTATGGTGCCTCTAAGAAGTGAAGGGAAAGACCACAGGAATAAGGACATGAGAACAGCCAGACTGGGTCAGACCAAAGGTCTATCTAGCCCAGTATCCTGTCTTCCAGCAGTGGCCAGTACCAGGTACTTCTGAAGGAATGAACAGAACAGGGAATCATCAAATGATCGATCCTCCATCGTCCATTCCAAGTTTCTGGCAAACAGAGGCTAGGGACACCATCCCTGCCCATCCTGGCTAATAGCCATCAATGGACCAAACCTGGGACCCTAAGAATTGCCAGCCCCAACAGTCTCCCAAGAGCCCCCCAGATCAAGCTTCTGTCTCCCAGAGGGGCCAGAACCCGCTATTTTACAGGAAGAAGCCCAATATTTGGCAATTAGTAACTCACCCAATCAAAAGGGGAAGATTTTTCATAATCCGCCCTCCTTCCGAGATTCATCTCACTCTGAAAGGAGGGGAGGTTATCTACTTCCCAAAACTGCTCATCACACCAGCTAGAAGCTCTAACTCCTCCCTGTTTTAACCAGAAGAATATCTTTGTGCACTAGCAGGGTCTACATGGGGCATTTAAACCACAATGGGCTGCTGCGCTCTACAGGTTACAGCCCTGTGGTTCGCACTGCCACACCATGTAGACAAGACATGGGCCTGCAAAGTGGATACTCACCAGGGCCGGCTCTAGGGTTTTTGCTGCCCCAAGTGGCAAAAAAATAATTAAAAAAAAATTTAAAAAAAAAACAATAAAAAAGTGAGCTCAGGTGTCCACAGAATTCAGGGACAGCTTGGGTGGGGTTTCAATCCCGTTTTAGGCCTGATTGTGGGATTGAGGTTTCTAATGTGGTCATTAGGCTCCTAAATCCATTTGTGAATCTATCCCTTGGTATTTAAGGGGCTTAGAGAGGAGAAGAAGATGTTGGATTTCCTATTAAAAGACTGAAGTCCTAAATATCTTACAGAGTCTCCTACTGCGGCACATAGAGACCTGTTTGGTTATGTCGTGAAATTAATTAATTAGGACTGAAATTTCAAAGATGCCTAAGTTCCCCACTTGTAAGGTAACTCCCTTCTCTTCATGTATAACAATGCCCACATCTGTAATTTTCACTCCAAGCATCTGAAGAAGTGAGGTTTTTACCCACCAAAGCTTATGCCCAAATAAATCTGTAAGTCTTTAAGGTGCCACCAGACTCCTTGTTGTTTTTAAGGGAGTGAGGTTCTACTTTGCAGCTCCTTTCCCCCACAGCAAGAAGGACTCTCACTGCAGGACCTCTTCTACTTAAACACCCACTCCAAGCAACCAAATAAACAAACAAACAAACATCTGCAACAAACCAATCAACCAACAGAAGAGAGCAAACAAAGCATACCCCAAGTGCAAATTTTACCTCCAAAGGGAACATAAACTAGTGACTTCAAGAACTCAACTAGTGTCAGTTTAAGGAACTTCACGGTGCATTGCTCCCTTTTGGGGTACAAGTCTTCCTCAGGTGTCCACTCAGGTGGACTCACTGAAGGGAGCCCATGGCATGAAGTAGGGGGGCTGAACACTCTAAGTTTTGGTCCCAAGAGGTGGGGAAGCCAAGTGGCTTACCCTAGTGAGAGTAACAGAGAGTTCTGTGGCACCTTTAAGACTAACAGATGTATTGGAGCATAAGCTTTCATGGGTAAGAACCTCACTTCTTCAGAGTGTGACCCTACGGGGGCTGACACACTGAAGGGATCCTCCCAGTGACTGATCCAGAGCTGTTCGAGAGCACCCTATCTATGGATGTGTGCCCCTTTTGCCAATCCTATACTATGTAAAGATGTATTAAATAAGAATAGGAAACAAGAGTTATTTACACCCTCCCATTCATATTGCCAGTCCCATCTATAGGAGTTCATAGTCATATAACTGTTCCTATTTCCCTTTGCAGTCCCATTTATACTCCACTTCATGTCCCCATTCATATTCAGATTCAGATTAATACCTCCTGGATACTTCCATTTCGATTCCACTTCCCATTCATATTTATGTTTGGATTCATACCCACTTTGGCCTTCCTCGTCCCACCACGGAGCATGAAACTCACAGACATGTTTCCTTTGGATTGTTGTGGGAATATGGATCTGGGCATCAGTGCCCTCAAATAATGTTAAACACTAAAATGCTTCGGTGCCACTCAGTAGGTGCATAGACGCTTGTGCTTCCCCCTCTACAAAAGGGTGGGTTTTTAACCAGAGAATTATCAATGGGCTGAGGGGGGAGATCACTCAGAGATCACTGACCGCACCCTGCCTGTCAAACAACCCTCACTCCGGGCTCCGCACGCCCCCTGCCCTGCACTAAGGGCTCAGCTTCTCCACAGACCTCACTGGGAGAAGGGGGAAGCCTTAACCTGGAGACTAACAATTTTATTGTAGCATAAGGTAGCATAGGTTTGAATAAAGACTGGGAGTGGATGGGCCATTACACAAAGTAAAACTATTTCCCCATGCTTATCTTCCCCCTCCCCACCCCACAGTTCCTTATATCTCCTTGTCAAGTGCTGGAAATGGGCCATTTTCATTACCACTACAAACAGCTCACCTTAACTGATCACTCTCCTTATAATGTGTATGGTGACACCCATTGTTTCATGTTCTCTGTGTATATATCTATCTATCTATCTTCCTACTGTATTTTCCACTACATGCATCCGATGAAGTGGGCTGTAGCCCAGGAAAACTTATGCTACAATCAATTTGTTAGACTCTAAGGTACCACAAGTACTCCCGTTCTTTTAACCTGGAGAGTGTCTGATCAGAGAGTCACTGGGGGCATCCACAGAGCGAGGGTGGATGCACCTGTTCTTTCTTCCTGCTCTGCTGAAATCCACCCTGGGCATCTGCTTCCTGCGCTCCCCAGGGGAGATGGGGTCAGCCTCTCTCCTATTACAGCTGTGTGTGGTGTCCATAAGGGGAGATACTTTGTGTCCGTTCTCATTGCTGTGGAACCAGAGCGCCACCCCTAGGAAATCCCTTCCCCTTTTGTCTGAGCTCAGACCGGCTTCCCCTCCTGTGTGTCTTGTCTCGCCCAGTAACAGCGGGCGGTGTCCTTGGGCTTCGGGCCGGTCATTTGTAATTATGCCATGGTGATGGAATTGTCTCTGGAGCTGGTGAATCGCCCTTCGGCAGCCTTTGAATACCACTGGTTCGATCCGCTTCCGGAGCTAATTCCAGGCACCCACTGCAGCTCCTTCCCGGGAGCCTGTCGGACCCAGCTCATAGCGGAGCTGCTGCAGGTGAACCCAGAGGCTTTGCAGGAGAGGCGGAGAGAGTCTCCGGGCTTTTTCACATCCCCGCCGGACTCCACCAGCTGCACCTGCGAGCGGGCACCTGGGAAGAAAGACACAATAGAAATCACATAGAGCAATAGTATAACAGTCACTTGACTGTGCAAATTACTCGGGATGAAAATATATCCGAAAGCTTCAAAATGAAAGTCTCATTTCACCTGGTTTTCGTGGGTAAAGTTCTCAGGGGGTTGGCTGGCAACTGCAGAGACACGGGACTGCGGATTGTGTCTCCGGGTGCAGCCTGGGCAGAGAGAGGCACAGATTCAAACAGGAAACTCTCCACCCCTATTTGCATATCCCCCTGCTTGTAAGAGACAGACTCCTTCAATTAACTATGTGAATTACTCTCAGTAGGGCTCCAACGGGAGTCAGACTCTTTATGTTTCTGCAATTAACAACCTGCGGTGGGCTCCTGCATAAACATTTGCTTAAGAGAAAAATGAACAACCGCCTGAAATTCATATCTATGATTCTAGTGTCTGGTCCAGTGTCTGTTGTACTCACTGTAAAGCCTCCATTATAGGTTTGGGATTAGGCTTTCAGGGCGAAGACTCTTTGGCTAGAAAGGAGAACAGAGGCAACTGACAATCTCTGTGTGCCAGGGCCAGAGGTGTGTGAAAGCCGATGGTATCTTTCAAGAAGGTTATGTAACTGTGGCTGTAGGCTGTGATTTAATCTAGCTAACTAGCTAGCTATCAGTCACACTCACAGAAAAGGTGCCAGCTCATACCAAGGTCCCCATGTCTAAACTAAACACTGACAAACATGTAACTGGAACCGGTCTGTCTCACCTATGTGCTAGTATTGCTAAATTAAGTATTAGAATGATAAGAATGTGTTTAGTGTTTAGGCTTTATTGAATGCTTGTGAGTTAGTGCACGCATTAATGTCACTTGCAACATATGTATGCCATAGAGTAAGGTCATATTTAAGTGGTTGTATTGTGAGCCTGTATGAATCACCAGCCTGGAGAGACATATTAATTAGAGTGATACATTGAACCTCAACAGAAAGTGTTACCATCTTCCCAAGAGAGTTCATTCCTCCCACGGGTCCAAAAGTGTCAGGAGGACCCCAGCGCCCTGTGCCCGGCGTTGCACAGACAGACAGGACAGGATAGTCTGACTCCTGCACCCGGAGCCCTAGGGCGAGTCAGTCAGATCACTGGCAGCAGGAGTGAGTGTCTCTTATAAAGCGGGGCATGCAAATGAGTGAGACAGTTTCCTATTTAAATCTGTGCCTCTCTCTGCCCAGGCTGCACCCGGAGACACAATCCACAGCCCCTGGGTCTGAGCAGTGACCAGCCAGTCCCCTGAGAACTTTCCCCTCCAGCACCCGGGAAAATGGGATATTTGCTCCTTGTAATTTTTGCTGTAGCATCTTTGAAAGGTATTTTCCTCCTCCAAATAACTGGCAGAGTTAGAAGAATATTGTGTTATTGCTGATTTTATACCGATATTAATGGCCTGTCTTTATTCTCAGGTGTCCGGTCCCAGGTGCAGCTGGTGGAGTCCGGAGGGGATGTGAAAAAGCCTGGAGACTCTCTCCGCCTCGCCTGCAAAGCCTCCGGGTTCACCTTCAGCAGCTACCAGATGGACTGGGTCCGACAGGCTCCTGGCAAGGGACTAGAATGGGTCGCTTTTATAAACACCGGTGGGGGTACTGTATATTACCCCGATTCAGTGAAAGGCCGATTCACCATCTCCCGGGATAATTCCAAGAGTGAGCTGTATCTGCAAATGACCGGCCTGAAGCCCGAGGACACCGCCCGCTATTACTGTGCGAGAGACACAGTGAAACAAAACCAATTTGTGATCATACAAAAACCCAGGCTGCGGAATCGCCCTTCTCCCGGCAGCCGCACGGGGGCAGCAGCTTCGGGCTCGGACAGGAGACCCGGCAACCAGGTGAATGTAACACAAACTTCCTGTCAGTGATCTTTAGGGTAGGGAAGGCTGTGCCTCCCCAAACAGTCTGGCCCCGCCCCCCCCTCACCCCCCCCCCGCCGCGTCCTCCCCCCCCCCCCGGACCACCCACGATCCAACCCCCGTTCCCCGTCCCCTGCCTGCCCCCCCGAACCTCTGCCCCCTCCCTGTCCCCTGACTGTCCCCCCGGCCCCTTACCATGCAGCTTACCCCCGCCTCCCCCATCTCCCAGAGCCTCAGCGCGCCGTGTCCAGGAGCAGCCCTGGACAGCGCTGCAGTGGCATGGCTCCAGGGGACCTGAGCTCCCGCCACTCAGCGGCAGCTCGGAGCCCCGCCCCCTTACCACGCAGCTCTGAGCGGGAGGAGCTCAGGCCCCGCTGGAGCCACGCCGCTTTAGCTGTGTCCAGGGCCACTCCTGGACGCGGTGCGCTGAGGCACTGGGGGATGGGGGAAGCGGGAGGTGGGGGGGAGCCTCCGACATTCTCGTGGGGGCCCCTGTGGGACCTGGGGCCTGGGGCAAATTGCAGCCCTGTAAGTGTTTGAGTTAGGGTTAGGGTTACGTTTAAACATTTTGTTTTAGCTTTGAAGTTTAGAGTTATAGTTTACACTCAGAATTACAGTTGGAGTAAAGTTTTAGGATTAGGGTGAACAATTCAGTTTGGCTGAGTTTTAAAATTTAGGGTTAGCAATGACCTATATGGTTGTTAGGGTAAGACTTAGATTGTACAAAGGCTGTGGAGTGAGGTGTCTATGAAAAGGTTATGATTTGCTGGTTATGATGGGCTATCTGTATGCATGTATCATTTTTCGTACTTGAAGATATTAATATTGGCTCTATACTTGGATTTCAAATGTGGGCTCCTGGGGTACTGCCCACAAGGTAACTAGCCAGAACATCTTGGAGGGACTGTTCAAATTAACTGATTCATCAAGAAACACTTGATTGACAATGGACCATGGGAGACGCCCATCTACAAGATTTGCTGCAAATATATCACAGTGGTTGCAACAATGATCTATATGGTCATATTCTAATCAGATAACGTCACACCAAATATTCTATTACACAGACACTGATATGGGTTAAAAGGAATTATTATCTGCCAAACAGAAGCCCAAATAGTCCCATGTTCACCTCTCAGTTCCCGTGTGGGGATAGAAAGCAGGAGAGGTGAAAACACAAACCCCGGCAGCTACAAAAGGGAACAAGGCTGTTCCCCAAATCCCTGTTGGTCAATGCCATAGAGCTGTGTAGGGTCTGTTCATAGATTTATTTGACTCCCTGCCAAGTAGATTGTCTCCCTTCTATTAGCCTCATCATCTACTAGTCTCCAGCCAGTCTGAGAGCCTAGTACATGTCGCATTATGGAGCCAGCCACCCACCCACCCTCATCGTCTGAGTATCATTCAGTGTAACTGTCTACGGAACATTCCCCGAGAACATTCTCTCTCTCTCTCTCTCTCTCTCCAGTGTGTGGGGATATGAAAGGGAACATGAGTGGTAATAGGAATGGAGATCTGAATGCTGATACTTGTCTGAAAGTCAGTGGGAATGGAAATATTTTGTTGTTGTTTTTGTTGTTATCTCTCAATATTACATCCTGAGATGGTGTAAAACAGGGATCGGCACGCGTCTCTCCAGGGTAAGCACCCTGGCGGGCCGGATCGGTTTGTTTATCTGCCGCGTCTGCAGGTTCGCCGCTTCAGGCCAATGGGGGTGGTGGGAAGCAGCACAGGCCGAGGGATGTGCTGGCCGCCGCCAGTGGGAGCCGCGATCGTGCGAACCTGCGGACGCGGTAGGTAAACAAACCGGCCCGGCCAGCCAGCGGCTTACCCTGGAGAACCGCGTGCCAAAGGTTGCCCATCCCTGGTGTAAAAACACGTCATGTTCATATCACACAATTTCTTTAAACACAACCAGGAGAAAGCTTCTGTCTACACTTTATTGCTTATTAATAATTAACTAAGTAAATGATCTTGATGATGATGCTCAGTGGTGACAGCTTTGGTGCTGGTTGTGGGTCTCCAGAAGCTGGGAATGGGCGTCAGGGGGTGGATCACTCCGTGATTTCCTGTTCCGTTCATTCCCTCTGGGGCACCTGGCATTGGCCACTGTCGGGAGACAGGATACTGGGCTAGATAGACGATCGCTCTGTCCCAATATGGCCCTTCTCAGTCCCACCGAGTTTACAATCCAGGTGTAAATAGGAAGTGGAGTGTGACGGGGAACAGGAATATAAACACGAATATAAATATCAGCCGTGCAGAATAATCTTCCTTCACTGTTGCCTGAATCCTCCTCAACTCTCCCCTAAAGAAAAATTCCCAGACACGTCGCTCTCGGCCCACTAATGTCAGGGAGGCTCCACTGCAAAACCTTAACTCCGTCCTCAGACTCCCCCCCTCCCCAGCTTCTCCCACCTGCACCCACAGGCGGGCCCCAGACCTGGTCCAAAGCACGGGCCAGGCTTGCTCAGATCACGTTCCTAGTGTCATGGATCATTTCAGTGTAGCCGGTCACTGCCGGGAAGGGAAAGGGGCTTCCCCCAAATCCCTCCCAGCGCCCTGGGAAATCTCCCCTCTCCAGCGGGTGGCCCAGCCCAATGGATCCCTGGGACACGACCCCTCCCCAGATACTGACCCCCCTGTCCGGATGTTGCATGGCCCCTGTGCGCATGGAACGGGGCTCCAGAGCTGAGTCCCCCCAATCCCCAATGTCACCTCACAATAGCCAGGCCCTCAGTTCCTGGGTGAGGAAATACAGTCACTGCAGGGAGCTGGTCATTCCTCCCAGGGGTCCGAAAGTGTCAGGAGGACCCAGCGCCCTGTGCCCGGCGCTGCACAGACACACAGGCCGGGACAGTCTGACTCCTGCACCCGGAGCCCTAGGGCGAGTCAGTCAGATGACTGGCAGCAGGAGTGTGTGTCTCTTATAACGCGGGGGCATGCAAATGAGGGAGACAGTTTCCTGTTTAAATCTGTGCCTCTCTCTGCCCAGGCTGCACCCGGAGACACAATCCGCAGCCCCTGGGTCTGTGCAGTGACCAGCCAGTCCCCTGAGAACTTTCCCCTCCGGCACCCGGGAAAATGGGATTTTTGTTCCTTGTAATTTTCTGTGTAGCAGCTTTGGAAGGTATTTTCCTCCTCTGAATAACTGGCAGAGTTAGAAGAATATTGTGTTACCGCTGTTTTTATACCGATATTAATGGCCTGTCTTTATTCCCAGGTGCCAGGTCCGAGGTGCAGCTGGTGGAGTCCGGAGGGGATGTGAAAAAGCCCGGAGACTCCCTCCACCTCTCCTGCAAAGCCTCCGGGTTCACCTTCAGCAGTGCCTACATGAATTGAGTCCGACAGGCTCCTGGCAAGGGACTAGAATGGGTCGCTTATATAAACACCGGTGGGGGTATTGTATATTACCCCGATTCAGTGAAAGGCCGATTCACCATCTCCAGGGATAATTCCAAGAGTGAGCTGTATCTGCAAATGACCGGCCTGAAGCCCGAGGACACTGCCCGCTATTACTGTGCGAGAGACACAGTGACACGAAACAGATTTGTGATCATACAAAAACCCAGGCTGCAGAATCGCCCTTCTCCCGGCAGCTGCGCGGGGGCAGCAGTGTTGATGGCACAGAATGCCTGAGGACAGCAACAGCGGGGTTCATTGCCCGGTGTGCTTCGCGCCAATAAACACACCAGGGGTGGAGAAACAAACAAAGTTTATTTGGGATCCCAAAGCGGTGCTAGGAGACAGGCACGTCTCAAATCAAGCACACTAACAGAAACAGTTATTCTTCTTTTATACATTTTGCAGCTAAGCCTCACCCCCCCCCTTCCCCTCCCTTCTTCCCCCTCTACCCCTCCCTTCCCTGGTATCAGTTACTAAGCAAATAACGATTACATTGAAGCAGTTAAGTCATTCTTGGCAGCTATAAGCCTAGCTTGTTAGTCACTTCTTTAAACCGTTATCTTGTCCTTTTTCCCTTCAGCCAGAAACATGCAGGCCTCATTATTACCGCTTGATACCGGTGTGAGCAGGGGGTTGCACACAGATAACTGGTTGCTTACATATTCCACTTGCACCTGGCTTTTGAGGTTGATTAGAGTTTAAACATGGAAGAAGTTTGGTTCATATAGGCCTACTGCAGGAAGGCTTCATTGACACTTAGTGGCCTTCCACCCTCCCGAGTTACCTAGGGTGATGCCTAGTGACATCAACAGCAGTGACACACACATTGCTTCGGGCTCCGACAGGAGACCAGGCAACCGGGTGAATGTAACACAAACGTCCCGTCAGTTTTAACCCTTCCGTTCCTGGGCAACGTGTCTCTCCGTCCTGCCCAGAGCACCGCTAGGCCTGCGGTGCAGAGATCCCTCGCTTCACCTGTGAACTCCAATCCGGAGTGAGTCCTGTTCTGAGTCGCTCTCCCATCGCAGACCTGGCACGTTGGCTCTCCCGGGGCCCGTCTCTGTGTCAGACTCACAGGACAGCGTCTGTCAGTGTAAAGGGGACAAGCGCGTTGGGGTTTGCATCAGACAAAACGGATGGAGCGAATTGCTCCTGGGGCCAAATCCTCCGCTAGTGTAAAGTCACCGCAACTGCTTTCACTAGACTCGAGTTACTCCGGATTTACACCAGGGAGGCTCTGGCCCTTTCAGCAAACTGGGACGTTTATCGCATTAATGCAGTGGAAGGTGATTAGTTCATTATAACCGATGTGGGGCCCTTCACCGTGGCATCTCCGCCCTTCACAAGCGGTTATTGCCTTTGTCCCCACAATGCCGCCGGGAGCCCGGAAACTATCCCAGCCCCTGGTTCAGAGAGGGGACACTGAGGCACAGAGACATGGAGGCTGGGATATGCAAATGGGCCATTCAGAATCCGGGTGGGGCTGGGGGGCAGAGATCACCCAGCGCCTGAATAAACCCCACTCTGCTGAGCCTGGGAATGTGGCACCGCTGAGACTTTCCAAAGTGGCTCGTGTTTTGTTTTCACGATTCTGGGACTCCATC